TGCATAATTCCAGTGCTTTAACAGTATCCCATTTAGATCACTGATTGCAACTACAGGCTACTAACAACCATGAAAAGGGAACCAACTCACCTACAAACAAAGAAACAAAATATTCATGTTGGACTGAGATGTGGGGCATAAAAGCTAAATTCAGAGGGAGGGGGCTGAGTTAAAAAAAACCTGGGCAAAAGTGCAGTAAAAATACATATGGCCTTCTCTCTCTAGTTCACAGAATAAGCTCATAAGTATCGGAGAGCCTTTGAAGAGAGAAATCAGATAGATTGCTAAATAATGTTGCTTTAAGTCTTATTTTCTTTTATTATTTTATTAAAATATTTATACTCTCCCTTTCCTCTTGGTTCTTCCGGCTGGTTTATTCCATTGTTTTGTTCTATTATTATAATATGTTGTGCTTTTTGGGTTTAATTTTTGTTTCTTGACCCATATTGATTTTTAATGCAGTTAGTTCTATTGGGTGCCTCGTGGAGGCAGAAGGGCTAGAAAGGCACCTTGAGCCCAATCATGGGATAAGTTGGGGCATAAAATAAATAAATAAATACATACATACATTTTAAAGTAAAACCCAGCTCTTACAGCATTTTTTAAAGTCATCCATGTGTGTGTACCCAACATTCATGTATCTCAAATTCAGTTCAAAATCACTACATTTCTGACACAGCCCTCAAAGCTTTGGACAGGATTTATCTCCCCACTCCTCCCCTTTTAGAGGCAAGGAAAACCACACTCCCATTCTCAGCTCTGTTAGGAAACTTCACCAGCTTTAACCAGCTGGAAATGAAACACTCAGGTGGCATTTATTTTTAGCTACAGTACAGCCTGAAATGTTCCTCTGCAGAGAAAGCTATCAAAGAGCTGCACACCACTTAAACCTCACAGATGCTTCCTAAAGCAAGGGCCTCAGTAGTGCATGATGGCATTGAAGTGAAATCCAATCAGGCCTAATATGTCCAAAGTACCCCTTTATGAAATCTTGTTTATTAAAGAACAGAAACTTCTAAGAGGACGACTCTCAACTGAGGACAAAGTGATTGAAAGCATATCATCCTTCAAACAAGCCTACCTCACAAATTAATGTTTTCACCACACCCACCAACCCACTTAATTCATCTGGAAAGTCCTGGCTCAGTGGAAATCAGCCATACTCGGAACTAACTACAGTAAGCAGGTTTATAAATATTGTCAGGGCTGAGGGCATTCCGCTGTAAAAGGGGAAAAAATAAAATAAAAACTGGTGAACAGGAAGTTCAGCACTAAGAAAAGCAGACTCCAGCAGTCTGAACAAATCACTCACATTTATACACTGCTGTTTTTGTTCAGGGTTTGTTAATCACTGAAAGGGGTAAGGAGCTATGGGGGGGGGGGAGACTGAAGCCTTGTCTCCAGCTGCTTCAAAGCTTGTTCAGCCACCCCTCTGGATCTTGAGATTTCAGAAAGCAATGCCCACATCGTTTCTCAAGCATACCTTTGCTACAGTGGCTGACTGTAAAGTTGAAATATCCCACGAGCAAGTCAAGCTGAGCAGGCCTTCTGTGTGTGAGCTCCGCAAGAGACATTCAACTTAGGCCTGGCAAATGCTGTTGCTGCTGGGCATCGGGTGATTTGTTGCCTCCAAATGTTGGCAGTGCCAGAGCATGCATCACTGAACTGACACCACTTAGTTGCTGAAGAGTCTAAGTCAAGCATCCAAGACAGCAGCCCACTAGAAACTCTCCCAGTAAACTGGGTGGCCAGCAACGTTCCCTCTAAGCTGTGGAATCTGGTGATGAATTTGTAGCCCAAGATATTGGGCAAAAGCAATTTATAATGTTGTCAGCCACAACCAACTCATTTCACACATTCTGCTTTTGTCACCAAGAAATGTGATTCCCATACTTGTATTTTACTTTTAGAAGTAAAGCTATAGAACAGCAAAGAAGAGACCACTGAAAAGCTGCTAGCTATTCAAGAGGTTGCTGAGATAAGGACTGTAACCAGCTTTCACCACCAGCTTCCCTAAGACACTAACAGCACAACCCTAAACAGTTAATCGCACTAACTTCAGTGAACTCAGAAGGATGTATTTTGTTTAGTATTGCGCTATAAATCACTTTACTTTATGAGAATAACCAGAGTGGAAAGTTCTCATATCTATGAATCAGAATGGCCATTTTTAATTAAGCAATTAGGGTTGCCAAGTCAAAATTTCGCCAGAGCGGGGGATTCTCCGCTGGCGGCTGGAGGGTGGCTGGAGTGGGCGTGCGCACGCCGCATCCACGTCACTTCCGGGTGACGTGCACATCGGGGTGGGGTTCCCCCCGGGGCCTGATCTGCCGGCGGTGGGGAACGGGCCTCTGGGGCGGGGGTTTCCTCGCCCCCCGGGGGGACTTGACAAGCCTATAAACAATTCATCTGTTTGAATGTTGTCTAGAGGCAAGGCAGCAGACATTTTATGTTAATGCTTTCGAAAACACGTTGATTGGTATGCAGGTGTCTTGAGAACCTGTGAGCTTGAACAAATAAACCAGCTAGGATTTTTAAAAAGTGCATTAGCCATGCCTAAGATTTTGAATGTACCAAGAAGAGTTTTTAGGTTTTTTTAACCTCTTTAGAAACCCTCCCCCATGACATAACATAGCTGATTTCAGTCTGAAAGGAAGTGTCTTGTTGGGCACTGTGGTTTCCTGTTTCTGAACCACAAGCCAGAGCCATCAGAATTAGTTACAAAAATCCCTTGAACCCATTCCAGGCCTAGGTATTTCTAAAACCACATACCGTTATCACAAGGCTGCAACCCTCATGCACATTTACCTTGAAGCAAGTCCCAATGAACTCAGTGGATTTGAGTACAGCCCAAAGAGCAGGCTGTATATTTAGCATACTTGGACCAAGAGGAGGGGGAGTACATGAGACACAAACCTGATCTCACCATTCATACAATCCTTTGACCAAGTAATGATGAATGAAAAATCCCTCAAAAGTGCATTGCCTTCTAAACTATGAGGAACAACTAAATTACCTTACAACTGCCCAGTAAATGGCTTTGCACCGAATCCTAGAAATAACTGAACAGAGATAGACTATTGTAATATTTTTAGATGCTTTTCTTACTTTTGTTCATTTTAACCTAGGGTTACTTTCTGTGAATTCTGTGATTTGTAATTGTATGTATATAGCTATGACCAGATATATATATACATGGGGGAGAAAAAGTACAGTACAGAATGACGGTACAGTGTGAAGCAATCAGGAAAGTACATTGCCAAATGTATCGAAACCTCCTCTATATGGTCCCAAGTATAAAATTACCATGAACCCAATTACTTATTAGCTCAAAGGCTATGTGGTAATGGATAACGTGCCACTTAGAAATGACATTGACAAGGTAAATGCCAAAGAAAGCCCGTTTTCTTTTTCAGCTGCTCTATTTAATGCTGAGTTCTAACAAACATGAAACCTCTATTGTCACTTCTCTTTTGATACTGGAACTGCTCCTCTTCCTGGGTCACCTAAAGGAGTGGGGTGGAGCTTTGTTTTTATTTTAATCAGCAAATTAGAGCTACGTTTACCAGAAATTTCGGGAATCGTCCATTTTGGTTTTTTAAAAAGCCAGTGATTTCATTTCCCTCAAAACACATTTCGTCCTTTCCAAAAGCTATTCTCACAAAAAAGAAAGGAAGCCTGGGACCACATGGAAGCTTTGTGTTGCAAGGTAATAAAATAAAATAATTTCTGAAATGTACCCACTTCTATGTTCATGTCCCTTTCGCATGATAGATTTGAAAATCTACTTTAAAAGCTATGCAGAAGCCAATTCAGCCTCTCTCTTTTTTTGCATATTACAAGGCGAATGCACTAATGGACTTAGCACTTAAATGACTTTAATACCGTTACAGCATCACTACAATATTTAAAAGAGTATTTTATTATAGATGTTTTCTCTACTTAAATGCTGAGATGATGATAGAATTTACAAATCCCTAGTGTGAGTTTTACCTGTGACCATCCCATGGGCCCTTCTTCGCCAGCCTATGCTTGTACGTACGTCACTACTCATCAGCTGCTGATGCAGGGCTGAGTGTGTGCACTTGTATTCCGATCTAAAACAGGGCCCGAAATCTCCGTTCGGTCTTGGACCACAGGTGGTATGAACCACCTCCATTAAAAAACTCTCCCTGTGATGGTTGATCCATGATGGCTTTCGAATGTGCATATCATCACCAGATGTGGCACTAATGGGGTGATGAACACACCATCTGGGAACAGGGCCTAAATCTTGGAAAAACAAGACCTGCCAGCATTTGTACTACATAGTTTCTGAAAAATGAAACTAGTCCCGCACACGTTATCATCTCACTTGGTTCTCAGTCTCGGAGACTGTGAAGAACAAAAACAAATGGTAATATCCTGTTTTTTAAAAGTTGTGCACTTCTTGAAACCTCCAGTGCACTGTCCACATCACAGCCAATCTGTCTTCACTAAATCAGCACAACGTTCTCTGTCATTCAGTTCATGCCAATGCTATCAGGCAGTGCCTTCCATTGGTTATCACAAAGAGATAAAATCCCAACTAGGAGGATTTGTGTCTCCAGAAAATGGAAAGTATCACTTTCTTGTATATTTATATAGATATATATTGCGCTCTCTCTCTTTGTGCGGCATGTTTACAGTAATATTGAAAGAGAGAAAGGTATATGGAGACAGATCTTACATGTAGCATATAGAAAAGCTTACTGTTATACAACACATGCACAATACCTCCAAGCGATAAGTACTGGGACCTTCCCATTCAGGACTTAGTTTGCACACACAATTGCTTGTTTACTCGTGATGAACATATTTGTTGGGCTCATCCAAATCTGACTCCAGTCACTTTTCTCTCCTGTTTTAAATGAGAGGTTTCTAAAGATTCGGCTTTGTATTGCATTTATTGTTTATTTCTAGTTCGGGGCTGTCGGTGTACTCTTTTTCTGCTGCTGTTCAAGAACAGCACCTCCTTCCGATTAGATGGTCACAGGACACATGATGATCCTGTCTTCCAGAAGGACACTGACAATGAGGAACATGAAGTAAAGCCCAAACATGGTAAAACCCAGGATCTTGTTCATTTTCCACTTGCTGAATGCAATAGAGATGATGACGAAGAGCAGCATGATGAAGAGGAGGACGATAGCACAGAATAGACCATTGCTGCTCACCTTCACCGAGACAAAGTTGTTAAACGCGGCGTAGAGTAGCCACGGGAGAGGAAGGCTGTTGGGAAGAAATGCTGTTAGGAGGGCAGGCACTGCAGATAATTGAAATTGTGCCTTAGATGGCAACCGGAAAGAGAAACACAGGAAACCATCGCTAGTTTCTCTGAACAGCATTAAATGGGATGCAGTGGGGCATGTGGCTCGGCCAGCCTTTGTACTACACCACAGCATTCAACCCACCCAATGTTCTCCTCCCCAACTTTTCTTTCTCTCCCCCCCCTTTCTCTCTTTCTGTCCTCCTCGATGGTTTGGGAGGGGGTGGGGGAAGGGGAGGGGGTGGGGGAAGGGGGATGTTGTTTTTATAACTTCTGTTTAAAAAAATTGCAATAAAAAGTATACAATACTGAGCACGATGGACCAATTTATTACAAGACAGCATCCTTTGTTCAGCATGTTTTCTCCTTGAGAGCTCAAGGGAGAACACACAGGATCTCCAGGTAGTCTCCTGTCTCACAAGGCCTGTTTGGCTGGTCATGTTCCGCAAGGCTGCTTCAGACCATGCCCCACTCTGCTCATTCAGCCTGCTAGAATAAGTGAGCTGTGAGCCAAGCAACAGATGTTCATGGATCAGATTTGGCCCGTGGTCTGCCAGCTGCCTACCACTACCTCATAGCAAAACACTAACTGGAACAGGGTATATGCAAAAGGCTAAGTGGAAAAAGGTATACGTATGACATACCCTTTCCCCCTTCAGATTCCTACTTTATGAGAAGTTTTCAAAATAGTACAGAGAAAAACTGTGAAGTTTTAAAACTGGTAGTACTTACCCGACTGTGATGTCAAAGATGTTGCTTCCCACTGAACTGGACACTGCCATATCCCCCAGTCCCTTGCGGGCCACGATGACACTAGTAATTAGGTCAGGGATAGATGTGCCAGCGGCTAAGATGGTCAAGCCCATGATTTCTTCACTGATGCCAATGGTCTCTCCGACCTAAATGGGATTGGAGAAAAATAAAAAACAATGCAATGAAGTGACAGAAGCAAGAGACTGCTTTGCTGAAACAGTCAGTGAAATAAATGGATGAGCATACTGTAGCTTTTCTTTGTGCTTGGGGGGAAGGCCGGCTTCCTGGCTGGGACAGAGCTCTAGTACCCTGACAACCTGCACGTCAGAGGAGGGAACAGTCCATACTCTTTCATCGAAGAAGAAGAAGAGGAGGAGGAGATTGGATTTATACCCTGCCCTTCACTCAGAGTCTCAGAGCAGCTGACAAACTCCTTCTCTTCCCCTTCCCACAACAGACACCCTGTGAGCAATGCTCCCTCTAAGCTGTGGAGTCTTGTGAGCCAAAATTCTACTTTGTGAGCTACTGACATTAAAGTTGTTATTTATTTATTGTTAGTGAGCGATTTGCCTACTGCATAAATTAGTTTGCTCTGGAGCCATCCTTCTTGAGCTAAGACAAAAATGTGTGAGCTGGAGGCTAAAAAACTGTGAGCTAGCTCACACTAACTAGAGAAAACACTGCCTGTGAGGTAGGTGGGGGCAGAGAGAGCTCTTTCAAGAGCAGCTCTGACAGAACTATGGCTTGCCCAAGGTCACACCAGCAGCTGCAAGTGGAGGAGTGGGGAATCAAACCCGGTTCTCCCAGAATAGTCTGCACTTAACCACTACACCAAACTGGATCCTTCAGTAGTCAGTTACATGATTCTTACTGAAGTCTTTACAGTGTTGGACTAAGATATGGGAAGCCCAGATTCAAATCCACACTGTTCCATGCAAGCTTGCTGGGTGTGACCTTGGGCCCGTCACACACTGTCAACCTAACCTACCTCACATGGTTTTTGTGAGGGTAAAATGGAGGCAAGAAACGTGGAGTATAAATGAAGTAAGTAACTCAATAAATAGTACAATTTGCTCTGAAGTTCTACTGATATCAAGAGGAACTGCTTAGAAACAAGTATGTTCAAGTTAGTATTCTTACTTATTCAAGAGCTTACCTGGACTGGTAACCTAATCATACTTATTTGAAATGTTTTCACCCTGCATTTCCAGCACAATGCTCTTGAGGAGGCACAGGCATCCACAATGCCACTTATCTTCCAGTTAAGCCTTTTAACTTCTTTTTCTACAAGTCTTTAAAAAACCCATCGTTTCCTGGGGTAGATGCAGTAGTGCATCTACTGCTAGAATCCTCATTCATGTCCAAAGGTAAATATGTCATACAAACCGCCCAAAATTCTGCACCACAGAAACTGTAATGTGTACCAATTCCACAAAGACAATTATAGACATGGTTGTATAATTAATTCTTGTTCTCCGAGACACGGAAGGGAACAAAGTACTAGGTGGGACACTGAAGCCTCACTCCTGAAAGTCAGCTGTGTGCCTGAATACACAGATTCTGAGCTGGAATGCTTCCATTGCAGGAAAGTTAAAATACTGCTGTGTTCATGTAACCAGTCATGCCTGCAGCACAGTCCCACTGTGGCTTGCATTTCTGATATCTTTTCTATTTCACTCGACAATTCTCCTCTGTTTTTTTCCTCCTCATCAGGTAGTTCAAAGTGCTTCTGCTAAAATAATTCCATTCCCATCAGAGGTCATTTCGGGGGGAAACGCAGTTCCCCCGGGTGAGGTGCAGGGGGCGGGGCACATGACGAAGCCCCGCCCCCTGCTTCCGGCCGCCCCGCTTCCAGCCCTCATTCAGCCAGGAGGAGGCAGGAGAAGAGGGAGGGTAAGTTGCTTCCTCCTCACCTCTCCCCACCCCTGCCTGCCTGGGGCCAGGGAGGGCCTTGGCGGGGCTTCCTCGCACTCTCGCTTGCCTTGCAGGTCCACCGCCGGGCCCCTGATGTCAGGGGGTGTGGCATATGCTAATGAGTTATGCTAATGAGTTCCCCTAGCTCTTTTTCTACGAAATGACCCCTGATTCCCATGACCCGGCCAACCCCTTCCATTCCGCTTGCAGTTCCCTCATTCATGTTTCTTCCTCTTTTCGTATTTTTGTGTGATCGCCAAGGTGCAAACCTGAAGTTAATAAGCGATTAGGATTGCCTTGACTTGGCATAAGATAAAATGAGACAAAACCTTATTTGCTTATTTATTTAACATCTGTATCCTGCCTGTCCACTGAATTCTTTCTTTTTAAATTTAAAACATTTTATATCACCTTTCCACCCAATTTAGGATCCCAAAGGCAGTGAACAATGAAAATATTGAAACAAGATAAAGAATATACAAATATACAAAAATTATTTTTAAAAAATTAAAGCACAGTATATGAAACACAACACAGAAAAGGTCAATGAGAATCCATGAGGGAACACCAGAGAAAACAGAAGATGTCTCCGCCCTCTGGCAGAAGTGACAGATGGGGACAGATGAATCTCCTTGAGGAGGGAATTCCACAGCTTTGGAGCCACAAAAAAAGAGAAGACCCTTTCTCAGGTTACCACCCATTCACCTCAAGCAGCAGGGACACCCAAAGTGGGGCCTCAGCAGATTACAGTAGTGGTCAGGTAGGTTAAAATGGGGGGTAGGCAGTCCTTGAGGTATGCAGCTCCCAAACCATATATGGTTTTTAAAAGTGTCTTGAATTGGGCCAGGAAGCAAATTGGGAGCCTGTAAGGTTGGAACAGCCCTGATCTGGATGGCCCAGGATAGCCTGATCTCATCAGATCTTGACAGCTAAGCAGGGTCAGCTCTGGTTAGTACTTGGATGGCAGACTGGCATCGCTACACAGAGGCAGGCAAGAGCAAACCTCCTCTGAATGTCTCTTATCTTGCAAACCCTATGGGTGTCACCATAAGTCAGCTGTGACTTGATTAGGGCTGCCATCCCCCTGGTCAGGGCAAAGGTTCCCCTGATTTCAGGGGCTCTAATACGCCGCTGGCCAGCTGGCCGGTGGGGGAAGCCCCACCCACAAACAGCCCCCTCCTGTGTCGGCGTTGCCAGCACAATGACGTCACCCAGTAGCGATGTCATTGCATTTCTGACGTCAGGGGGTGACGCTCTAGTTTTTGGGCAAACTCTATGGTTTCGAGGGCAAAAATTGTGTGTGTGTGTGTGTGTGTGTGTATATATATATATCTATATCTATATGCGCAATATATAAGTAGCAATCAAAAGCAAGCAAGCAGGAAGGAGGGTTAAACACATAAGGGCAAGTCTGTATCACTGATTTACCTGATGGGCCCACCAGACCATTAAGTAGGAAAATATTGCAATCCAAGAGATTGATCCAAAAAATGTAACGGGAAAATATTTCTTTGATTTCTGGAAGAGAAATGAATGGGAAAAGTTAAGGACAGGGCCTATACATACATATTTCAGTCCTAAATCCAGTGCCCATGCTCATGAATTTTCTTGTACCCAGGCCTAAACTTAGCACATTAACCCATGCAACTGCACACTGTTGTTGTCATTATTATTATGAATTAACATTTGTTAAACTACTCCACCAAAGAGAGAGAAAATTAACAAAAGTACATTGTCAAAGGACTTAACCCTTACATACTGTTCAACTGAGCATATTTCAGTACTGAGTCCAGTGACCGTGCCCATATGTTCTCTTGGCCTAAACTGTACATTAACCTAAATAAAATTCATGATGTACATGTGTTTGTGCACATATGAACTCTGACTCACTTAGCTACATCATTTTGTTGTGCCTGAAAAAGACCACAAATTTGTTGTTTGTTATCTGTATACAACAGACTCTAAGACCTTTTTTACACTCCCTCTGTATTCCATTTTAATAACTGGTTGCTAACGGATTTTTTCTGTCATTTCAAACAGACCCGTTTTAGTAACTGGTTGCTAGAGGAATTTATTTACCTGTTCATAGAAACCCGCTTGTGTTGGGTTAGCAAAGCGTGGTTGAGCTGCTTTTGGGGGGAAATGCTTTTTTCTGTTTTTAACCCGTTTGTTGTGTTTCTGAATCGCTGTGGTGTCCACAGTGCTTCCTACAATGCCTCTTTTTTAAAAAAAAATAAAGATCCACACACACACACACTTGGGGATTGGCATCCCTATGTATATGGCACTGAGAGACCTTGTACAATCTACAGAAATATTAAACTGGTCGGAGCAAGTACATTTCATTGGGTTGGATCATGACTAAATTGGCAATTTCTACCAACTCCTACTTCCTGCTGCAGATGACCCTCATGTTGTTCCTTAGGGTATCTTATTTCCTTGAAGTACTATTCCATGGAGATCAGTGGGCTGCAGTGAAGAGGAGAGCCAGGAAATTCTGCTGCCCAATGGGAAACTTAGTCTGGATCCAATGAATTTTTTTAAAAGGGATTTTCTTCCAAGTAGGGACTTGGATGCTTGTAGGCCTTTATTGTAGAAAACATATAACATTAATTTTTGAAAGTTTGCCTAACCATTGACAAGGAGACTCAGGGGTATGCAAGCCACCAGGCATCTGGAAATTGCTGGGAGTAAAATTTCTTATGCATATGCACCAAGAATAAACATCTCAAGAAGCAACGAGAAGGACTGTCATGAAAGAACTATTAATACTGCATTTTATAGGTTGCCATTAAATATTTATAAAAGTAAATGGTAATATATTCACAGCTATTGTCTGCCGGGCAGGATCTCCAACAGCCAAAACCAAATGACATTTACCACTGAACTGTTGTTGGGTCATTTCCCCACAAAAGCTATCTAGCAGAGGGCTGAGGAAGGAGAAGTCATGAGCTCATTTTATAGATACCCTGTAACTTAACACATCTTGAGAAAATGTGGGTTTGATCTTATCCTTAAAAACAGGCACACTCTACGTTTCATCACTCACAGGATTTCTGACATCAGGCAGGGTAATCCATAATGGCAAAACAATAGGAAGAATCACTAGGTAAGTGAACCGTTTACGTGTGGTATCCGGCCAGGCTAGGCTTAGTGGCTCATCATTTTCTTCTGCTTCCTGAGAGAAAAAAACCCAGATACAGTAATGTTAATTTGGGTGCAAAATGGTACAATAATACCCTGTGGGAAAGTTTTACAAATTTCTAGCATCTTGCAATAGAAAAAGGTAGTAATCTTGGTGTCTCAGTTTTGTATACTTTGCCTTTTCACAAGGTTATCATAAAGGAAAATCAAGTAAGTTGTAAAGTATGTCATAAACCTATGTGAAACAGTGCTAAATAATGGTATTCAGGGCTATTATTGGGCACGAACGCACAGGAACGGAATTCTGTCTGGCTTCAGAGTTGGCCACACCCACTCACTGAAGAAAATACTGCACTAAGCCCCATTCTTCATGGAGGGTACAGGTATGTCTGTTGAACATTACAATTAACTCAGAGGAACAGACAAACACCGCGGAATCCACAAGCACCCTCTTGTAGAAATTTACTGCTGGGAACATCAGGAGTTAGGGTGACTTGCCATTTCTTGGGGAACCCTGGTAAGCTTCCCAAGAATTCCACATTCTTCAGAACTGTTGGAAAACCATTACGCTAACCCTTAAATACTCTGCATTGGCAGAGCACAGTAAGATTTTCTTAAGTATTTTATAGACTGTAGCATTTAATCTTCCTTGCCTCACCTGAGTACAATAATTTGAGCTTTCCTGTTAGGGTTGCCAGTGTCCCCAGTTCCCGGTGGGGGTCCTCCCAATTTTGGGGGCTTCTGCCCACCGCCAGCCAGCTGGTTGGAGGGGTAAACCCCTCCCCCAAACAGCAACATCATTGCACAACATCCCTGATGTGATGATATCACCCAGAAGTGATGTCATCACACTGGGGCATCACACAACAATGCTCTGGTTTGATATCACCCAGAAGTGATGTCATCGCACTGGGCATCACACAACAATGCTCTGGTTTGAGGGCAAAACTCTATGGTTTGAAGCTGACTTTACCATAGGGTTTTGCCCAAAAAACAGAGCACTGTCCCCAACATTGCCGAAGCAATGACATCATCGCATCAGGGACATCCCAGAATGCACCCCAAATCCCCCGACCAGAGCGACGAGGGGACCCAGCAACCCTATTTCTTGTCATGAATAATATAATGTCTATTAAATGACACAAGCCCGGACATTACAGCTCTAATTGCTAGGTTTTTGGCTGACGTGGTTAAAGATAGATTCAAGCTTTCGGTATGATCTACAGCATTTTGCTGTCTCTGTAACGCCTTATTGCTTATGTTTTATCACACCATGTATTTTATTGGTATGCCATTAAAGGTATTTGATTTGATTTTATATTTCCTGTCATGCTGTGTGTCCCTGTGTTGTTTCTCTGTGAACTGATTTTACTATTGGTTTTTTGTTTTAACCATTTTTTTATTCTGATGTATTATTGCTTCAAGCCACCTTGAGCAGTTTTTGTGTGTGGAGAGGAGGTATATAAATGCCCGAAATAAATAAATACACTAAAGGCTACAAAGGTCCAAGCAATTTCAAAGACCTCTTTTTAAAACCATCACATTTCGTCTCACTGCAGCAATACAAAATCCCTCTTTGTCTCAGTTTTGCTGACTTCCCTCCAGATGCCATACTTTATTGATGTCAGACTCCATTCACTATTACATGGCCAAGTTTTTCTGTTTTGTTTTCTGAAGCCAGGGGTGCAATAACCTTTTATTAAAAAGGAAATCAGATTTTTCAGTCTTCTGTCATGCTAATGGATAAACATTCTCACATTTTTTCTCTTGTTCAAACTATTTCTACTCACATCATTTCTTATTTTATGCGTTCTTATATGCAGCTACTTGTTAAGAAAAAGATTAGATTGAATTCAAAGGTGTTTTTGTTTTTGCTAGAAGAATTTATTTCTGCTACCAAAACAGAATTTTCTTGCCTCCCCCTCCTACAGCAGACAATGAAGTTCACTGTTGCTGGGCCAGGGGACTGTCAGGAATAGCGTATGGTGGGGTGAAGGCCTGCAATATGAGGAAGAAATCAGGAAAAGTAACTCCTTCCCACAGGCAGAAAGCAACCTGTGGGTAACTTCAGCCCACTATATTTTAGGAACCAGTTTATATGGACTAAGCAGGGGTCATTTCGTAGAAAAAGAGCTAGGGGAACTCATTAGCATAACCCATTAGCATATGCCACACACCCTGACATCACCGGAAGTGTGTCATAAGGTTACACCCCCTGACATCACCCAGAAGTTTCATAAGGCCACACACCCCACCCCCAACGGTCCCGGCTGCCGGTGGCGGCCTTGCAGCTCCACTGCCGAGCCCCATGAGTAATGTTCCCTCTAAGCTGTGGAGTGGTGTGAGCAAAAATTCTACTTTGTGAGCTACTGGCATTAAAGTTGTGAGCGAGCGATTTGGCTACTGCATGAATTCGTTTGCTCTGGAGCCATCCTTCCTGAGCTAAGACAAAAATGTGTGAGCTGGAAGCTGAAAAACTGTAAGCTAGCTCACACTAACTCAGCTTAGAGGGAACACTGCCCATGAGGGGCCCGGCGGTGGACCTGCAAGGCCGGCGGGAGTGCAAGGAAGCCCCGCGAAGGCCCTCCCTGGCCCCAGGCAGGCAGCAGTGGGGAGAGGCAGGGAGGAAGCAACTTACCCTCCCTCTTCTCCTGCCTCCTCCTGGCTGAATGAGGGCCGGAAGCGGGGCGGCCGGAAGCAGGGGGCGGGGCTTTGCCATGTGCCCCGCCCCCGTACCTCACCCGGGGGAACTGCAATCCCCCGCGATCCCCCCCGAAATGACCTCTGGGACTAAGGTAGTTCTGATTCCTACAAGCTAATGTCATATCAGAAAGACCTTATATCTAATTAAAAAAACAAACTCCTGGGGAAAAAACCAAATACCACCACATCCACTTTGAACTTTAAATCACTGTCCCTTAAAGTTCCACACATTTCTGAAGCTTCACAAGTAACTGAAAATTGTTTCTTGTCACTGTGCTCACTTCTAGACAGTATATGTATGGTAAACACATGATCCATACAACATAAGAGATTTTAAAATTTCCACTTTCAGAGAAACCCTTCCGCATCACTTTGGTTTGGGTCCAATGATGCACAAACAGAAAAAGATATCTAGTTAGTATAGTTCTGCTTGCAGAAGGGATTGCACAAGCACAAATACCTTCCACTCCACTCCAGTCCAAGTGGCAATCTCCTCCCTCTCCCATATAGTACCCTCAGGGAGCCATTATGAGAATGAGGCAGCTGCTAGGTTCACTTTCTGAAACCCTGGAACTGGTTGGGTGATTGACTACTGTACATAATTTCACAAATATGGGCTTCCTCCCGCTCCTATCCAGAGATAATCCCCCCTTCTTTCAAGTGTTGGCATTAATCATGGTTTAGCATGACATAAGAACATAAGAGACGCCAATGTTGGATCAGGCCAAAGGCCCATCCAGTCCAACACTCTGTGTCACACAGTGGCCAGAGATGGACCTCTGCTCCATATGCTTATCTAATTCCCTTTTGAAGCTGTCCATGCTTGTAGCCGCCACCACTTCCTGTGGCAGTGAATTCCATGTGTTAATCACTCTTTGGGTGAAGAAGTACTTCCTTTTATCCGTTCTAACCCGACCGCTCAGCAATTTCATGGAGTGCCCACGGGTTCTTGTATTGTGAGAAAGGGAGAAAAGTACCTCTTTCTTTACCTGCTCTTTCCCATGCATAATCTTATAAACCTCGATCATGTCACCCCTCAGTCGTCTTTTCTCCAAGCTAAAGAGCCCTAAGTGCTTTAACCTTTCCTCATAGGGAAAGTGTTCCAACCCTTTTATCATTTGAGTTGCCCTTTTCTGCACTTTTTCCAAAGCTATAATATCCTTTTTAAGGTGTGGTGACCAGAATTGCACACAGTATTCCAAATGAGGTCTCACCATTGATTTATATAGGGGCATTATTATATTGGCTGATCTGTTTTCAATACCCTTCCTAATAATCCCCAGCATAGCATTTGCCTTCTTTATTGCAGTCACACACTGTCTCGACATTTTCAGTGAGTTATCTACTACAACTCCAAGATCTCTCTCTTGATCTCTCTCTGCCAGTTCACACCCCATCAATGTGTATTTATATTTAGGACTTTTGGCTCCAATGTGCATCACCTTGCACTTGGCCACATTGAACCTCATTTGCCATGTTGACGCCCACTCGCCCATCCTTGACAGATCCCTTTGGAATGCCTCACAATCCTCACTGGTTTTCACCACCCTGAACAACTTCGTATCATCCACAAATTTAGCTACTTCACTGCTTACTCCCAACTCCAAATCATTAATGAACAAGTCAAAAAGCAGTGGACCAAGTTCTGATGACATGTGCACCATTGTTCTGGCACTCCATACCTGTCCCTTTCTTCTTCTACAGAAGTTAAATGTGCTAATGCAGTCCACTTAGATTAGGATGCAACTCAGTTTTAGGTCCCATCAGTTAATTACTTATAAAGCCCCCAAAATCTTTTATGTATGGGTTGTTTCTGTTCCATGGAATACCCAACGAACCACATGACGGGGGGAAAGACCAGCTACTCATAGCTAGCTATTTGTGATAAAGGTCATACTCCAGGAGATAAAAACACACAGGAACTTTTCCTGAAGTGAACTTGGTATATCTGGCAACTCTTCTCTACGTAAACTTTATTGCATTGGCTCAAAGCCTTAGCAAATAACACCGAAATGCCAAAAACACGAGAATCATAATACAGTAAGCGCAATAACAATTAAACTCACAATATCCATTACAGATCTATAAACAGTTTTAAAATCATGACAGCAACAACATTTTAAGTTAAAAACAACAAGAATTCAGTCAGTCAGACAACTTGGTATGTCAAGGTAATTTCACTTAGCCATGATTGCTCTTATGAGCTGTTTGGTAACTATACAGAAAACAGTATGTGCTCAAGGTTGCTCCCTCATTAGATCCCAGATGCCTATTCTTTCGCTAAGTTATCTTTGCCATGTTAGGCACATATAAATTTTTCTGATTAGGTTT